CCCGCCAAGCAAGGCATACTGTGGGGCTTCTACACTGCGCCTCTCCTGGGTTTGGTAGCGGGAAAGTGCCACTCTGAGGCCATTCGCTGTACACCAAAGGGTATTTCTATTTTCATAGCTGCCTTTAAAAGGGTGGGGCGAGTCCTGGGGGTCTCAACATGTTTCAGAACATTAGCTTCCACAGTAAAGTAGAAGACTTCTTGTGCCTTTATATTATCTTTCCTCCATCCTATACCTAATTCTTTCCGAGAGACTCAGTCTGACACATCCATGCATCCAGACTTTTACCAAGTTCTCATACACCATGCACTGTGCTAAGAAAACATATCAGGCCATACTTGTATCTCAGGCCACAATGACTCAGAGCATAAGTGATTCTCAGACTCTGTAAGTTGGTAGCTAATTTTTTAACAAAATTGGCGCTCTCTCTGAGCTTGGGATCACCTAAACTGTCAGAAAATTATTTAAAAAAACAAAACACACACACTGAGGACTACCATTTCCAAAGATGGAAAAAGTGGCCACTCATTGTATAATAGTATAACATTCAGATGTGACAGTCATAGTCAAACGCACACTGCGGCTTTTACCCAATACGATTTCCCCTCAATGCCCTTGTCCTGACCAGTTTTACCTAAGGAGCTTACATCCCCACCACCTGCAATTGTACAGTATTATTTACATACATTATTCAGACTTAGAATGAGGAAAATTATGCAACGTGGTGGGAGTGATTATATAAAACTGTTTAATAAGGCACAATTTAGTGATTACCGTGGCAATGCACATAGAAACGCAAAAAAAAAAAAAGGTATATGAATCATGGCAAGTTATTAGGCACTATCTTAATATTTTTAATTCTCTCATTAATTCTAGTTTAAAAATAGTTGGCTCCTCCTCAACGTCTGACTTTAATAAAAACAAAAACAATGACTAGAGCAACAATAATGGTTAGAGCAGCCATTAACTAGAAACCTCCAGGCTAACCCAAACCACCAGCACTTTAAGAGATGCTCACCAGGAAGTTAGAAATTGATACTTGCTATCTGTAGACCCACATCTACGTGGGTGAATGTGCTTCACCTTTTCTGTGGTGGTCATCATGTTTGTCACAGTCTCCCTACCTTCTAGCTACCATGGACCCCTTTTATTTCTTTTTCCTCCAGGGTTTCCAAAGGTTCAACCCACCAATCGCCTTCATTAATAACTGATTTGCTTTAACTTTGTCATTGTTTTCTAGTTTAGACACTGATCCCGCCTTTAACCAATAATGCAGAATCCTCCAAAATCCATCCTTACTGCGGTCAGCACAGTGACGGTGCCCAAAGGTAATCAAGGTATAAATAAGCATCAGAGCATTCGGCACTATTCACAGCTTAGGTTAGGTAGCTATTGGCTGTTTACTTCATATTCGTATCATGTGTGAACCCCTGGCATGTTCACTTAGGTAATATGACCACCTGGTTTGGAGCCCTGTCACAGTGTTGGGTCCACATGCCCCCCACACCCCCGAATTTTCTGTAAAGTCAATAGTCAGAGGACCTAACTGGTATAAGTTGACGACTGTTATTCCTCTCGTTACCGGGTTGTGGTAATATTCCTCGGCTCGTCTTCTAGAGGGAAAAAATTCAGTCGAGAGACAGTGTTTTGTGCAGATACAGGGTAGTAAGAAGTTTATTCGTAAAGGCTCGATATACTCCAAGATGTGGAATGAAACAACCCCAAGAGGAAATGGCCCCTCCTTACATTGTGTGAAGGCTTTTATTCCTATGGGTAGAATTGCCACCCCCTCTCCTCTCCCTTTATCTCTCCTTCTCCTGCTGAGGTGCCCACTCCTCCCTTTTGATTCTCAAGGCAGTGTCTGTCCATTTTTTTTAGGGTTTGAGACACTCACTAAAACGGTCCTGATGAGTGGGATGTCTTCCTTCCTTCTCTGGTTCTAACAACACATCCTTTTGATTTAGGGGCTGTGTCAGCCTGGAATCCTGCTGGGCAAGTGAGGCATTGGTGCCCCAAGTGAGGGCAGCTGCCAGCGGTCTGGACCCAAGTAGGAGCTGCAGCAAGGGGCTTTCTAACCGGGGCTAGATGTCTCCTCCTGCTCATTTCTATCTATCTACCTGTCCTGTCACTCTGAGTCGAAATTTACCAGCCCAAATCAAAGACATGTTCTAGTCAACTGAGTTTAATGCCACTAAGCTTGCCCAAGAAACTCATGGATACAGCCCCCTTCCTATTGTAGCTTTGTGGGCCGTCTTAGCTAAGTGATAAAAATACTGCAGCTCCTCACAAAAGCTCACCAGCCCTAACAGTCAGAGGGCTCTGACTAGCAGGGTGTGGTTCTTACTGCTCTGTGCTTTTTCTTCATTTATAAAACGAATATCTCGATTTCTGAGTTTCTAAATTCTCAAAGTTGGGAGAAGTGAACAAGCAGCAATGTGCATTGCAATGACAACAATTTACGCTATTAACATCCTTTTACTACATGTCTGGCTACTTGAAGACACAGAATAAAAACACACACTGGATTGTGATTTTGCAATTATCCTGTTATTTCTTTTACATAACCCAACTGTACAATTCCAGGCAAAGTTTTGGGTATTAGTTATTGGCTTGTGCATCAAGTTCACAAGAATATAGTTAAACTCCTATTTCATTTTGTTCTAGGAGGAAACCTGACTGCCAACAATTGCTCCAGCTCCCCTGAGCAAGCAGCATGTTAAAAAAAAAAAAAGTGTGAGGCCTTTTGAAGAAGTTTGAATAAGAGAAATACTTAGGTTGTTTTGCCACCACCCCCCCTTTAATAAAAACAAAAATTCACAAAAGTTAATCTGAAAGCACTCTATGCTCTCAACATTTAGGAAAAAGAAATTTCCAAGCACTCGAAATACTTTTGCACAGGACATATGCACTGTTTTGTTTTGTAGCTTGGAATTACTTTTGGTAATGCCTGGATTCAGGTCATAACAATAGTCTCAGTAGTGCTGTGAATGTACCTGTTTGCCAACTCAGTTTCTGCAGAAACGTTCTACAGGCATACCTTGTTTTATTGTACTGCACTTTATTGGGCTTCCCAGATGTTGCAGTTTTTTGTTTGTACAAATTGAAGGCAAGACCCTCTACTAGTGAAAAAATTACAACCTCCTTTACTGTCGTGGTCTGGAACCAAACCTGCAGTATCTCTGAGGTATGCTTGCATGTAAACAGGAGCAGTCAGAAGGACCTGCACAATTTGAACAAACAAAATGCAACAAGTATGCACAGTATAAATCAGCTATCGGTGACTCTTTGCAAAAGCATCTTCAAGGATAATATTCCAAAGAGGAACCGCATCTTACTTTAGCCATACATTGTTTCTAAGACTTCAATGTACTAAAAATAATATCAAATGCAATATGACTGAAAATAATTGGAGACTGGATGATACACATAAACTCTGTATGACCACATACCACAAATGTTGTCAAAAAGTTACACTTAGTTTAAGAATGACTACTGAAATTCAAAGTGTTTGACCAACAGAGTTGAGAAGAGATAATGGGTACCTGCAATGCAATTCAATGAAAGCTACAGATAAGTATGGTATTCCCTTTCTGGATGGAAGGCTCAAAAAATTCCACAGGGCACTCAAAACTGACCTGGGATATGTCTTCAATTATGCCAGTTGGTTTGGGATTAGGAAATACTACCGCTTTATTTCTCTCCTCCAAAACAAGGGGTCTGCCCAGAGGTTCCCAATGTCTTTTCCAGCTTCGGCAACTGAATTACCTACAGGGTTGGGTGCTTGGAGGATCCGTGTAATTAGCCACCAGCTGTCAAGAATCATCCTGTAAGCACACCAGAGAACGATTCAAATCAGGTACTTAGTTTAGGCCTGTTTTAAGAGGATGGATAGATGGGGGTCGGAGGATGGTGGGAAGCCTGCTTTGCCTCTTAACTACAGAGTTTCAAAATTCAATTCAAAAGCTCTCCAAATTTCTACGCGATGCCTCACACACTTAATACTTCAGAAAACTAATAAGTGTCTGTGCATCTAGGTATGCCTTAGGCAAATTACAATCTCTGTGGGTCTCCATATCATGTCCCAAATTTAGGGACCGTTGCCGATGTCTACTGAGCCTTCCAGGTCCAGCATTCTATTAGACTTCCTGGACGGTTTCTGTTAAAAACACCCAGATAGGGCAATTTGAGTCATTAGTTTTGTCTGCTACAGAACATTAGACCCCTGGGGTCTTGTTTTAAAACTAAAGCTGGAGACATCTCACCTGAAACAAACTCCTTAGCTCCTCAGGAGGAAAGGGGGGAGAAAAAGCAGTCGTTATGAAGTGGTTGTGTACCTATCTTTTATTTTTGATCAATAGTGGTTTCCTTGGGCCTGCCCGGACCAGGACTTACCAACTCACAGCATCTCCACAAAGCTGCTGCATTACCTCCTGCGGTGTTTAGATTTGATGTCCTAGTTATAAAGCAGTATAGGAAACTTGTCCGTTTTACTTTGTGTGTTTTTTTCCTTCACCAAGGAACGTTTGTGCCCCTTCGCTCTAATGCAGACGTCCCTCTAGCCAACACAAGTGTCCGGATCCATCTGCTTCGCCTAGCTACACACTCATTCAGAGCCCAGCTCCATCTGGGCTGGGTGGTCAGGCAGCTCCACTGCCGTTAGAAATTAAAGTTGATGGGAGTTGCATTCTAACCCGGCCAGAGCCGAGCCCTCCGGGTGCCCCACGGCGCGGCCAGAGCTGCCGGGTCGGTCTCGGTCTCACGGACGCCGGGCTGACAGCTCCCGCCAAGCCGGGGGGCGAAGGCGCGTCCGCTGCAGCCCGGTACCCACGGGCTAAGGCACCGTCCTGCCCCCAGTCCCAGAGGTTCCCTTGCCCTCAAAGACTAGCAAAAACACGGCGTCCTGCAGCGAGCAGGCAGGTACCCCAGCGATCTGCCGGGAGAAAAGCCCCGGGGAGGAAGAAGTGGCGGCAGAAGGCGCCGGGTCGTGGCACTTAACTCACCTTCTGCTGCCTGCGGGCCATGTCCGTGGGCTGCTTGGCGTTGAAGGGGTGCGCGATGCATCTCACCACCAAGACGTAGAGCTGCAGGCGGATCCTCCGCTCCTGCTCCTCGTCCAGCTGCCGTTCGGGCTCGTCCCGACCCTCGCTGAGCACCGAGGGGCTCGGGCTCCCGGGTCTGGCCGCGCCTCCGCCGCCGCCGCCCGTGCGCCCCGGCGCTTCCCGCCGCCCTTCCCGAGCCGGGGCCGCTGGCGCTCGCTGCGAGCCGCCGGCCGCCACCAGCACATCGCGGCTCTCCTCTTCCAGCCCCTCGTCCGACTCCTCTTCGCTGGAGGATGGGTCCAGCATGGTGCTCCGGCCGCCGGGCAGCCCGGCCCCGCGGCCCCCAGGCGCCTCACCCCCGGCGGCTTGCGCCCAAGGGGCTCCGGCAGCCGCGCGGCGGACGGCGGCGGCCGCAGAACGAAAGGGAAACTGGCCGCGGCTTTCCGGACACGTCGAGTTAGACACAGGAGTGTTTCCTACCGCCCGGGCGAAGGGGGCGGGCGGGAGCCGGGAGGTGGACCCGCGGCGAGGGAGCCGCCGGGATGAGAGAGGCGGAGTTAGCGCCGGCGGGGAGCCCGAGCGCCCGCCGAACTCATCGGGCCCGCCGGCGGCGCGCCAAGCCCGCGGCCCCGAACGCCCGAGGGCGGGGGCCGAGCGCCCCGAGCGCCCGGGCGCAGGTGGGGAACCTGTGGCGCCTACAACAAGCAACACGTGGAGCGGAATGTTGAGGAGCGGGCGCGGGGCCGCGGAGTGCGCGTGCGCGCGCCGCCGCCACCGCCTGGCCCAGGTGTCGGGGCGCCCCGGGGGCCGGGGCGCGCAGTCTGCGAAAGGAGGGGAGCCGATGAGCGTACAGGCTCTGTGTGCGCCCACCCGGGGTTGCTCGGGCTGTCGTGACCTCGCCCCGCACCCTCTTTCTCTCGCTCCCTGAGGGTGCAGGCGAATAGGGGGCGCGAGAGTTCCCCCCTCCGCACTCTTCCCCCAGGTGACGGGAGCCGCCAGAACCGCTCCTGGACCCGAACCTGATGCGCAGGGTTCAACCCGAGCGCGGAGAAGTGGGGCCGGAGCCGTTCACCTGCAAATAACGTTGGGAAAAGACTTTGCAAAGTCTCTAGCTCTGCTCTGCTTCTGTTTGACGCTCATGGTGAAGTCCAAATTACAAAAGTCAGAGGAACGTTCTTGAAAACAAAAGCAAAAAAACACGCGAGGCTTTCTTTTCAAATTGTTTTTATTCCTGTAGACGCATGAGCAAGATAGATTCAGCTCATATACGGCTCGATTATTTCCTGGGTTGGAATGAGGTTGTCTCAAGACAGGTTGGAGTTGTGTAGACATTTATTCAGCAAAGAATTGAGTGCACGCCCGGTGTCCGGCCCTGTGAAGCATTAGGACCAGCCCGCGGCGCACTGGGGCACACAACAGTTGGTCACTGTTGGTTCTGACCTCAGGTGGGCGTCTCGTAGCTGCACCTGAAGCCTTTATCTGTGCAGATTTCTCACTCCCAATGTCGGAACCACCTAGGAGTTTCTGTTATTTTCTTTCTGATGTTCTTACTCTGGACAGGGAGAAACAGGGAAAACTGCATCCCACAAAAGGCAGTATGCAGGGAGGTGATAAAGCTCAGTCAAATATCATCACCAAGCAGAGAAAAGTGTCTCTGAGCTTGTCTCACCCATGGCCAGATAGCAGTTTCAGCTTTTTTCATGCCACTTTCACAGTTAGGTAAACAAGACAGAGGCTCTGCTGCATTTACTGACATTCTCCCTAGATGGGGTAAAAGGACAAGAAGGTACAATATTGACTCCTTCTTGTCACTGTATCAATTTTTAAGAGGTGCCCACAGTGATAAAAGGTGTTCATTGAGGGCATGACTGATCAACTGTTAACGAATAGGAAATCTCAAAAACGGGGGAATTTAAAGACAGTGTTTCATTTTTGGCAAGGTAAGCAATAAATGACAAGCTTGTTCATTTCAGTCATAGTATCTAGTGCTTATATACATAGCACTTTATAATTTGCAAAGTTTGTAAATGCGATTATCTAATAACTCACCAAAGTAACCAGTTGAGACAAGTGATGATGATGATGACATTTGCATGCTTTGTACCCATACTGCCCTAAGTCCTTTACATACATTATCACATTTGTTTTTAGTTCCATGATACAGATAAGGAACCTGAGACTTAGAGACTCTTGTTTTTCTATAGAACTAACAACTAATGGAACAAGAATTGAACAGAGTGGGTCCTTTCTAGTTCCAAATAGTAGCTTTTTCTATTACAATTTGTCTAATTATGTCAATATTGAACACATGTTATTTATTAAACTAACTAAAATAATTCCTAGGAACATAGAAGTACAATTTAAATATAATAGCTTTATTGCCCTTCCTTTTCTTGGCCAGGAAAGGTATATTTTTCAGTTTCCTTACTATACTATTTGGTATAATAGCTTATTACTCTCTTCCTATTAAATATGGTTATCAAACTAAAGATTCTCCAAGCCTTGGGGTTCCACTGGAAAACATCTAATAATTTTTAGAATAAGATATACAGAGTTTTCTCTATGATGATGAAAACGGTTTAAAGAGTAGAAATTAAAGAAATATCCAGAAGACAACAAAGAGAATGTTTAAAGATTTCATTAATTAAGCATACATTGGTTAAGAAACTAACTGTGCCGGGTATACTTAGAAGGACAAGATACAGTCTCTGATCTTAAAAAGTATACAGGTTAAGGAATGACAAATGAGAAAAACACTTATTTAAAAAATCAAAATAAATATTGGTATTTCAATCTGATAGTTGTTCTAATAAACCAGGAGATAATGGTAATACAGAAAAGAAATAGTTCATTCAGGATAGCATAAGGGAAGGCTTCCAGAATGCTTGACATGTATCCTGAAAAATGATTAAGAGCTTTTGGGGTAAGTACACTACAGACAGGAGGAACTACATTTACAAAAGCATGAAATTGTTTGCCGCATTTGGACAACTGCAAGTAAACTGGCATATCTGAAGAGCAGGATATGTAAGAAGATTGGGAAGGTGAGATTACAGAACAGGCAGAGACAAATTCAGCATCAAACAGGACAGTGGGCACGTTTTCATGGCCTTATCTGGCAAGCTTTGGGATTTAAACCATATCCTGAAGAAAATGGAGATACACATAAAGGTTTAAGATAAGAAATAAGGTGATCTGTAACTCTTAAGAGGAAATCTGGAGCAATGTAAGGGCAGTGAAACCAGAGGCAAGGTACCAAGAGATTAAGGAACTCTGGGAGAGGAACAATGAGGACTTGAATTTCAGACAGGAGACAAAGGGAGAAGGAAAGCTTAAGAGACGGATGAAGGAATTAATAGGATATACATGAGAAGCTAAGGAAGAGAGTCTAGGATAGAATATGATTCCCAGGATAAGATAACTTGACTGGTAATAGATGAAATGTGGATTTCTAGAAGACAAGCAGGTTTAGCGAAACATCAAGTTTTGAGGAGCTTATCAGAGAGAACCTAAACTCTGTTGGAAATACAAATGTGTTACTCAAATCTGGATAAGGGGATCATCAGCATATTGGTGGTAGTTGAAGCTACACATATAGATAATAAGGTCCAGAAATTCTGAAGAAGAGGGCCAACTGTGGACCCCTTCCTGCCTATCCTCCAATAAAGGCATGGATGGAAGAAAAGGAACCTGAATAGAAGAGCTGATCAACAAATTTAATTTTACCCTAATAATTTCTCATTAAAATTTTCAATTTTGTGCATACACTAATGTTCTTGATAAATTTCTGCCTTAAATGTTAACTTTTCAGGTAATTATAACATCTGTTGATGCCCTGGGATAATTAAATAAATGATGCCCAACATGAAACTATGATTGGTTTGTACCATTTCATATACATGAAATGCACTTGAATTTACTCATTGATTCATTTTTACTTTTGTGAAGGTGAGCATAAAAACAAATGGAAGTTATACTGCTTTTTAATGAAACACCTCTAATGCTAGAAAAAGATGAATGCACAGTAATAAAATAGAATATAAATGTGTTTTGGCAATGATATTTAAGGAAACAGGTGTGTGACCTGAATAGCTATAGGGGGTCTGTTTTCTGGTTGAGAATTGATTTGTGCATTTGACCTGAAAGGAAGGTATTAAAACTCTTTCAAGTCACAGATGAAATTATTCTTTCATTGAATAGGCATTGTTTGGGCACCCACTCTATGCAGTATTCTGAGTAGATAAAAACAATAACAGTTTGTCCTTGAGGAGATACATATGAAACAGGCATGAGAAAAATAAGAAATTGTGGTAATACATGCTCTTGTGGTAATAGAGAAAAAAACCACAAAATATTCATTACCTGTTTTGGAAGTGGGCAGTCTATCTTTTGTAGTATAGTTATAGCTAAAATTATATTAGAACAGAGAGAAGAACATTTTCCGGTCAAATGGAAGGACCAGTTTTGCTAATATGTATGGGAAAACTGTCAACTCACAAACACAGCTAACAAAAGGAGTGTGCATATAATAAAAGGAGTAAGATAGAAGCAGCAGAATTTTGAAACTATGAGATGAGTATATCTTATGAGACAATAATCCTCCTAGTAACTACAGTTAAATCCTCTCCTCTCTTTGCTCAGCTTTTTCTTTTGTTCCTCTCCAGTTAGAATTTGAATTCTAGCAGTGAATTGTTCTAGAACCTCACTTTTTACAGATAATGAGTAAAAATATATACAGGCGATCAGCACAAATTGACTAGTAAATGAGTATTCCACACTGATACACAGACACACACACACACACACACACACACACCCCATATAGTCAAAGGATTGTTGTGAACATTAAAGAGAATAATACATGCAAAGCACTGAAATACTATCTGGTATAGAGTAAATTGTCAGTAAACGCCAAGTATTTTATTGTTATTATAATTGCTTCATTATTTTGCTCACTTTTAACCGTAGAATTATAGAAACAAATCATAGATAAATTAGTAAATACTTCTATGCATTTATGTATTGGGTTTTACATAATTTAAAATTTGTATTTCTAAATTATTTGCCCTGCAACAACCAGACTAAAGAAATTCTCAAATATGTGAATTTAGTGTTTTACTAAGATCACAAAGATTTCATAATTTTTATAAGGTTGACCCGACCATTAGAAGCTACTTTCCTTCTGTTCCTATTCAATCTGGGAGCATTCATTACTGATCGATTACAGTTCTGTTCTTTAATTTTTCATTTTCTGAGAAATTCGGAGGAAGTAAATTTGAGTACAGGGAGGGAAAAAACGTAGAAGCATACTGTAATCTGAGTGCTCAAAATGTCATGAGAAAAGTCCTGAATTAATTCAAAATATAAAATGTATGTGATGATTGTTATAGTCTTCTAGAGAAGCAAGAATTTAGCCTAGAAGAGGTTGTTTGTGTTTTTATGTTAATAGAAATGCAAACTATGTGAACTTTTCATGAGAACAAATAAAACCTACAAATGATGTTCATAGTGGAAAAAACAATAAATAGAGCTTTTAATTCCCTGTAGTTTTCACAGTTTTTTGCATTTATATTGAATTTGTTTTTAAATACATTTTCTGCCAGTCAACAAAATTTATTGAGTGCGTATTCTATATTAAGCCCTATAGTAGAACACTTTTTTCCTGAGTGCATTAATTGACTATGAATTCAACCAATGTCTCACTTAAGAGATGAAAATTCTACTGCTGTAAAAACTGACACCATTTCAACAACAATGCCCCCCAAAATTAAATTAAATCAAAGAAGAGTTTTTATTGGACAAAATTATAAAGGATAGTCAAATAACATCAAGTGGGGAAAATAAAGATATGTCTTTATTAACTACTTACTACTACTTTGGTCTGTAGCAATAAATAACAGATTTGTTCTCGGGACGCATTTACACTGTTAAAAGTTATTAAGAGGGCCGGCCGAGTGGCGCGTTGGTTAAGAGCTGGCTTGGGATGCCAGAGGGCCCCGGTTCGGATCCCACATATGAGGGCCAGTGACACTGTCCTCTACAGCTAAAGATGCTGAACAACAGCTCAACCTGGAGCTGGGCTGCCCTGAGTCGCTGACAGTGTAGGCTGCAGCCGCTGCTGCAGTGGGTTGCCATGGGCTACTGTATGTAGCCAGCAGCCAGCGTGAGCGGCCAGCATCCTCTGTGAGCGGCCGTCCAGAAGCTGGCGACTGATGTGCCTCGCCTGGGAAGAGCACAATGATGGTGCCAACTTGGGCCTGTGAAGCAACGTCCTCCACAACTAGACAGAAGAACAAAACAACAGCAACTTGTCTGTTCACCTTCCCCTAATTCCCCAGCACTGTTCCCCTTCCCCCAATTCCCCAATAAAAAAAAATATTAAAAAAAGAAAGTTATTAAGAGCCCCAAACATCTTTTGGTATGTGAGTTATATTTATTAATATTTCTAATATTAGAAAATAAAACAGAAAATGTAGAAATACATATTTATTCATTTAAAATAATAACAAATTTGTTATGTAACATAAATTACATATTTTATGAATAAAATACTATATTTTCAAAATAAAAAGTTGAGTGGAAAGAATGCATGATTTTACACTACAGAAATCTCTTTAATGTCTGGCTCAGTAGAATTCATGGGAATTCTCATATCTGCTTCTACGTTCAATCT